AGCAGCAAATCTAGACAAGATCGCGAAAAATTTCTAGTGACACATCCGCCCATATTCTGAAGAAATGGCACAAACAAAACAAAAAAATAAATGCAGGATCAATGAAAGGAAACAATTAGGCAGCAGAATTTTCTGTCATGGGAGACTATCGAGACAAGAGCTTGGATAAATTAAACAAATCAAGCATCTTATCGTAAAAAGCGCTTCCAGAGCTTTGTCAAAATGAAACAAGCCTGCGAATATGAGCTCACACCGCTGGGCATAAATCACCTTCTGAATACTCAAGGGTCAGAAGAAAACTTTGCCCGGGGACAACACCCACCACTGCTGCCCGCTCCCAAACCTGCCCGCAGCCTCCTCCGGCACAGCCAGCACGGACCGCTCCTGCGACCCAAGGGCCCTGCGTTACGTCCCTTTATTATTTGCAGAGCCGACGTAGCAGTGCAGACACGGATCCAGCTCGCACGTATCGCTGTTTGGAGACTGCATAATCATCCAGTTCAGCCCATGCAAAAGCAATATGAGAACACCTTCTGTACAGAAGAAATTCTCGAGATTTAAAGTTTTAACACAAGCTAACAAACGCCAGGGATGAAAGAAATCCTGGGATGAAAGATCTCCATGACACCTGCTTTGAATAAAAAGACATTGCTACAAAAATATCAGAGGCCTGCTGGTCTAGAGCCTTTGCTACATGTCATTCCCCAGACATCAATTTGCAATAGAGGCACACAAAAGCAGTATTACACAGATTACATGCTACTCCCCTGAACTGCAAACAAAATCTACCCACAGCACTACCACCTCGCCGTCCAAAGCACGACTGAACCACAGCCACCTTCCCTCGCTGTTCGCAAGACGACTTTGCGAAGGGTAAGGCACACAGCCGGGTTCAACGCTCATTTGCAGAACCGACAGCTCCTCCTGCAAACTTCGCCCCGGCTCAGCTTTCCCAAATACTCCCAGTTTTTCCTCACGTCGGCAGGCTGGGAACCAATGGTGCCAACAGTTTGGCGCTGAGAGAGGGGACGGCTTATCCTCAATTTGTGGGGCCTTCGTGCAAAACCCACGCCCAACGCCGGGATGCTCGAACCAGCTCATCATCTTCAGCAACTTCACCACTTTCTACACAATGATGTAACACACGGTAATTATTTAACATTTCGTTGTAACGGCACCCAGGAGACCTAAAATCGAAGGGCTGAGATCCCACCAAGCCTCTGGCACCACGTACAGGTAACAAATGGGGCAGGTCCCCACGTTAGAACAGCCCGGACCCCTGCGCCAGGTGACACCACGGGCAGGTACAACCAGCTCCAAGGAACGAGGGAAGAGCAAGGTACCAACAAAACATGGTTCGCTCGGTTTTATGCCACATGGCTCATTTACTCACTGCTGGCAGCTTCCACAAAATCAGGCTCGTCAAGCACCTGACTGTATACATAGGTAATGATTATAAAGCCAACTCAAGCGGGGCTAAAAGTACACAAAGAGCTAGCATAAAAATAAAAAAGTGCAATCCTTTCCCAGGTGAAAATACAGGACTTTGAACGTAACAGGTGGATTATATAAAAATTATTTTGCTCCCAATTCTCAAAATATTTTTTTTAAACTCCCGCACAGACCAAAAATCATCATTACTGAGAAGCAAGAGCAATTTCACCGTGTTTAACATTCAGACTACCCACCTCTCCCAGGGCCAAACACAAACTCAACTATGGCAGCATCTGCACAGCCCCCATGCAAGGACTAGGGCAAGGTCTGGAGCATCCACAGCTCTCCTCCCCAGATTCTGCCCAAGGAAAAGATTATTTCCTAACGTCACTTTTTGTTCCAACAGGGTATAAACTTTAAGGGGGCGGTTCACTGTTATGCTTGGGGAAATCAGCATGGTTGGTCTGTTAATACTCTGTCTACGAAGGAAAAGCCTCATGATCTGAGAAGCGCTGCCGCACCTCGTATCGACGGTTGCGTCCTACACCCAGGATGCCAACCTGAGTCAGACCCCTTTGTTTGGGAACACTCTCTCCTCGAGCCTCGCCTGTGTCCGTCTCGGTCCTGCAAGCACATTTAAGTCCTTTTATATGCTTCTTTCCAAAGAACGGGAAAAGATATGCATGTGATCGATCACAAAAACATCCACGAGGCATCGCCACCTCAAAAGAGGAGGACGCCATCAAAGCGCTGCCCCACACAGCCCTACTCCCTGTCCTAGCTACAGAAGTTAAAGTCCACTGGCCACAAGCTTTTCCTTTTTTTTTTTTTTAAAAAAAAATCCTCACAATTCAGAACTCAACATTTAAATGGGCTGCCGGAGTCTCGCCTCCAAAAGGCAACAGCAAACACAAAAGAAGGAAAAACAAAACCACAGAAATCCCCCCTCCCCACCCCCCAAAGCAAAGCACCGGGTGAGGTGCAGAGAAGGGAAGGGGGACGAGGCGCACAGGGAAGCCGGCCGGCTGCTCCCCTTTTCTGCCTCCCTTTTATTTCTGCTGAGTGTAGTAACACTTGAACTGGCTCTCTTTATTTGCAGCCGGATATGCTCTTTCAAAGATACTGTACCACTGTGTAGGCCAAGCAGGGACTCTCTTTCTTCCCTTAGTTAGGGCTTTTGGGAAAATAATTATTCACCAGAACTGCCATCGTGAACAGAGAAAGCTAAATCAATGTAGCTTTGTATGGGCCATTGCCACTGCAAAGCAAATACTCCATCAAGACATGGATCACTGAGAATTTTATCACTAGGAATCCTTATGCACATCTTTGTGTATTTTTAATATCCATCTTATTACTTGGCGTGCCCCCTCCTTCCCCCTGCTCCTCCACCCCACCCTCCCCACGGATTTGTCTTGTGTCACTGGCAGCAACGGGGCTTGGCCGTAAGATTCACATGCTCAGTAGAAACATCTTAAATACACAGCCAGGTTTATTTTCTTTTTTTAAAAAAAAAAAAAAAAAAAAAAAAAAGCATTGGTGCATAGCAGATTTATTCACTGAACAGGTTGATTTATTTAACAGACTTGACATACATCAAAACCTACTATGGGCTTACATAATTGTTACCCATTTAGCAGGTCTGTTTCTTTTGTCAAGTATTTGTTTTTAAAAAGTGATTCACTAAAGACTTCTGCCTTATGCACAGTTCACATACCTTAACAAATGTAGTCTTGCATGGGGGCTTAGCTGAAGTGACTAAATTGCATCCTACCTGCTTGAGCACTGTCATTATTTTTATTTTTTTTTTTTTTAGTTTCTGTATTCTCCCCTTACCCAAACTAAAAAAAAAAAAAAAAAAAAAACCAAACACCACCAAAAAAACACCAAACCAAACCGACAAGCAGGAGCGTGTGTACAGGCACACACAGCACTCACTTTCCAGCAGACTCTTTGCTGTGGGCACAGTGGTTACCGCATTACCACGCTGCTCCAGCGCTAACAGCAGGTACCTCCAACACAGAGGACGCACAATTCCGAATACCAGGATGTTGCTGGTTGCACAGAGGTTTCGAGCGAAGCCGGCCGGAGGGGCTGGCGCGGGGCAGAAGGGACGAGCAAATCGCCGAGCAGAAGCAGGGTGGGAAAAAAAAAAAAAAAAAAAAAAAAAAAAACACAAAACCTCAGGGAAGGTTTAGGAGCCACAGAGCCGTTTTGTTTTCACGAAAAAGGCTCATTCAGGCCCTGCTCGCACAGGCGCACCGCTCCCCTCCAGCCGCACGCATCCACCCACGACACCCAGCCACGAATTCCCCAAATACGCACCCATCCTGCGCTTGTTCCGAGCGGGAGGCGAAACGCCAGAGAGCACCACCGAGAGAAAAAACCTAACCCTTCCTTTCATCGCCGCTACCACCACAGCTTGTTTGGGATAATATATCATAAACCGTATCGCTCGCGAGCAGCACAGTTCATTTCGGAGACGAGGATTTCATTATTTCCCCCACCACCACCACCACCACCACCACCACCCCCGTTTCAGCATCCTCCACGCACACACACAGGTCACATCTTACACTTAGTAAGCAAAACACATTACCGCTGCCACCGCTGCACGGCCGCGCAAGCGGTTCAGAAATTAAAAAGAGACCGGAATAAAAACCGCACGAACCCAATTCTCCACCGCTCGCTAGACAGATGGTTAATTATATTCACAGCCGCATTTTTCGCTGGGATAGAGTTTCAGACAATGAGCCAGTTTTATTTGATTAGCCAGTTTTCTAGTTTAATACACGGAATGACAGTTACTTCCAGGGTTGGGGCTTTTTTTAAAAAAAAAAAAATAATAAAAAAAATCCTATCCCCACCCCCATCCTTTATTATTTTTTTTTGTTCTGGCCGAGGCTGAAGTAAGTGCAGCCGTGCACCCCCCACCCCCCCCGTGTAAATTAACCCCGCGGGGGGAGCGGGGCCGGCCGGAGGGGTCATGCTCCCCCCGGGGCCCTGCGGGGCGGCGCCCCCCCGCCCAGCGCGGCACCTGCCCGGGGGGGGGGGGGGGGGGGGGAAGAACGGACAGACACACGGACGACGACGCGGCGCCAAGTTACCCAGTGCAGGCCGCCCCCCCCCCCACCTTACCCCCCCCCCCCACCCACACAGACACACACACCGGCCGCCCCGCTCTTTCCGCCGCCGCGCAACTTCCCCGCAGGCCTCCGCACCGCCGCGCAAGGCCGGCATTCCCATCAGCATCCCCCCCCCCCGCTTCTCCTCACCCTCCTCTTCCTCCTCCTCCCCCGCGGGGTGTGTGTGTGAGGGGGATGGGGGGTTCCGTGGGTGTGCGGGGGGGGTGGGGGGTGGGTTCCGCGGGTGTGTGTGTGTGTGTGTGTGTGGGGAGGGTGTTCCGCGGGTGTGGGTGAGGCGGGGGTTCCGCGGGTGTGTGTGTGTGTGTGTATGTGGGGAGGTTACGCGGGTGGGTGGGTGGGTGTGTGTGTGGCGTGGGGGGGGGGGGGGGTTACGCGGGTGCGTGTGTGTGCGCGGGGAAGCGCCGCGGCGGCGGGACTCACCTCAGCGCCGGGCCCGCGAGGGAGGCGGCGGCGCGGGGCCGGCGGGTCCCCCCGCCCGCCAGGCGGTGTCGGCGGCGGCGGCGCTCAGCGCTGCTCCATGCAGCCCGGGGCCCCGGCGCGCGCAGGTGGACGCGCCCGCCCCCCCCCCACCCCCCTCCCTCCTTTTCCTTTTCCCTTTCCCCAACCCCCCCCCCCCAACCCCCCACCCCCCCCCCCCCCGCCGCCCCGCGCGCGCCGGCCCCCGCCCCTCCCCCCGCGCGCCGGCCCCCCCGCCCCTCCCTCCCTCCCTCCCCCCCCCGCCGCCGCCGCCGCCGCCGGGCCCTCGGCGGAGCCAGCGCTCCCGGCCCTCAGCGCCCCGGCGGCCCCACGGCCGGGCTCCCCGCGGCGCGCAGCCGGCCCCGCGCTCCCCGCGGAGGGAGGGAGCGGCTCCCGCCTCGCCCCCGCCGCCTTCCTCCTCCTCCTTCCTCCTCTTCGCCGCCTCCCCCCCCCACCCCTCCGTGCCCATTCAGGAGGTGCCGGGGAGCGCCGCCGCTGCCATTGTTCCCTCAGCCGCGGGACCGGCGCCCGTTACCCCCCCCCCCCCCCAATCCACACACACGGGAGCGCGCACCCCGCCGCTACCGGGCATAAAGGGCGCGTGGCCGCGGCCCCCGGCGGGGCGGGGCGGCCTCACCTGAGGGGGGAGGTTTTTTTTTTTTGGGGGGGGGGGGGGGCGCAGCTGCCCGGGCAAGGAGGGAAGGAGCGGCCCTTCCCCGGTCTCTCCTCGAGCAGGGGTGGGGAGGGAAAAGATGGGCGCCGGGAGGAAGGGAAAGGCGAGCGGTGGGCGGTCGGTGCTTCGCCCGCGGCCCGCTCGGCAGGGCAGGGCCCCGGGAGGGTGTCAGCCCCCCCCCCCCCCCCCCCCCCCCCCACGGGCACGGGAGGGAAAGGCGCTCCTCGGGGGAGGGGGCTGGCAAGCCGGGTTTCAATCTAAAAGCTCAAGGGCTGGCAGAAGAGAAGAAGGGAGAAGGGCTGGGATCGGCGCTGATGGTTTATTTTCGTTATCGCGTTATGAATCCACAGAACGGCTTCTAAAACTCCGCATTGAAAGAGGCTGCTTCAGCTCGGGGGCTGCTCAGGACTCACCACGCACCTGAGGAGGAAGGCAGGGACGCACCACCAGACGCTGCCTTTTGTGGAACAGGAGGCCGAGGGAAACAGGAGGCTGCAGCTCTGGAACCCGCAGGCTTATAAAATACATCCATCCTCGCAGGACCCCCACACCAGCTCGGAGTATTGCAGCCCTATTTCTCCATGACAGCCGCAGCGCCGCTCGCCTCGCACGTGCGCCATGGCCAGAGTTACTGCACCAGGGGGGCTGGAGGAAAGTTTTGTTAGTGTGTCTTCTGAAGCGACAGAAACGTTTAGCAAGTAGAAAGCAAACCAGACGGAGGTAGTTGGACGGCGATCGAAGACAAGCAAGATGAGCATTAGGCTTCTTGGTTTCGTTAAATCCACTGTGATACGTAGGAGAGGTTCCTCTGCGCAGGTTACCGTGTGAGCTTACCCCAAATTCGGCTCATTTTGCATCTGACACAAACCCTACAGTCTAAAAAGTTGATCAGGTAATACGGTAACTAAATTTTTAAAATACTGAGCACTTTAGTCCTTGTTCTCACAGCACGGGAGACCCCCACCTGTACATGCAGTAATAAAACAGGAATAGCGTAGAGCAGCATATGTAACGTGCTCTGAATTCGGAACGCTTTGCACATCCACTTTCAGTACCACAAAATAAGCAACTAATCTCATTTGTTCTTCGTTAACAGTGGTACCCAGGACATGCCATACATCACATGCAAATAAATCCTTCAGTGGCACTGCAGCAGGGCACATACTTGCAGTATAACTGCACATACTTGCGGTATATTCTGCCCTGCTGCAGAAACAGAGGTGAGGAGTAAATGATTTGACTAAGGCCACGGAGCAAGTCCTTGTCGTAGCCATAGCACCTCCCTGTCCTATCCCCAGTTACTGTTTTCCTCTCTGGGATCACCACACTGCTGGGGAAATTGCACAGTTCAGTCCCCATATACCTTTGCCCGTTTGTAATCTCTACCACAGCGCTGCATTTGATTTCTCACACAAACACACACGTCATCTTCTTGACAGAAAGATTCAAGTAATATACATGAATAATTAATCGGGGTCAAGTGAGATGGCGACAGTGCACCTGGCAGTGCTCAGGAAAACAAACATACATTTGCATGGTGCTCATTAACTAAATGCTTTCCGAATTTCATGAACTCAGGGCAGGTTTTGCCCTCGGTCGCTGCCCCGCCACACTGCGTACGGGCTGTACTACCCTCAAAAGTGCCACTGAAGGGACACGAGCAAATGTGGCAGCTCCTCTGCCGAGGCACCCCTCAGCGAGCAGGAATGACGTGACCAGAAGGGCCTGGGCACCAACACCCAAGTTTGGTCAGACCTACCCAACTCCTGGGGCCGTCTTTGGAAAGGAGACGGCAGCGGTGCTGCGTGCAGGGAGGCTGGCAGCCACGGCCATCAGCAGAACATCATCACACAGATAAGATTAGACGTAAGCGTGGGGAAAGGCATGATGGAAATTAAAAAATACGTTCAATTAAATAAGCATTGCACCTGGATCCAGTTTAGAAGACAACAACCCAAGTATTTATTTAAATGCTGTCTTTTAGACAGAACACAAACATAACGCTCAAAGATTTTCTTAGTAGCTGTGGAAGAATATAATGCCTTTAGTTTCGCATATCTACATGCTACTCATTGAAGGGACTTCAATTACAGAACTACCACAATACTCACCGATCTGCAGCATAAAATTCTGCACAGCATCTTGGGCAATCTTAAAAATTAACAGTCTGTGCACTGTGATCTTTTTATGTACTGCCACAAACAGATGTAAAAAGTGCACTGACATGATGGAAGTGCAGCTACCCACCTTGGCTGGGTATTAATTTTCCAGACTGTCAAGTAAAGACTCACAGGTGCGACAAGAAGATGCTAAGAAAACTCCTTTTGGCAGGAAGAGATCAACAAAACCCTGCGCGAGGAGCGATTGCGATGCCAGCCAGCACCTCGCTCTGCCCTGCCGCACACCCTCGCTGCTCTCCTGACCTCCCCAGTCCAGTGCTGCTGCAACGTGCATCGTAATCATTCACTACAACCTGTAAGACGGAGCAGATCAGACATCTACATCTGTCCCATCCTCCCAGCTGTCTTCACACAAAATCCGTGTGCCCAGACACATCTTCATGCCGGGAGCCTGCGCTTGCTTGTCTGCCCAGGAAGCAGAGTTGGAGCCTAAAATAGCAAAACCTGGATTATGGCATTAGGCCAATGCCACGCTGGTTCCCACTTCTCCAAGCGCCCATTTCCTGATCATTCCTTCTTTTCCTGACGCATGGGAGCCTCACTAAGTCACACCCAATACGGGTTAAATCCTTCATTTGGCACGGCCCGATTTATTTCTGCTATACGCAGCCCCTCTGCTAAATAGTACCAGAGAGAAAGGCAGAGGTTCACAGGAGGATTCTGGTTTGCCTGTGGCACAACACAAACATGATTTTTCATAGAGCTCAAATCCCACGCTCTTGGGTAAGCCTGGAAAGCCATGGCTCAAGAAGAAAGCTGCCCAGATGTTATGAACCCTAAAAACCCAGAGCAAAAGGCAGCAGGATACCAGGAGACACCACCCTCCTATCCCACCCCGCCACAAAGAGCTGGAGAGGATTTCTTCCCTGACTCTGTCAGACTTTCAGGACCAACTTCTGAAGAAGAACAGTGTAATGTAGAGCCCTAGCAGAACAGGAGGCACTCCGGGCAGAGGTGAGGTTTTGATTCGGGTGGGTGAGGGACTCGCCCTGCCTCCTCCTTCCTCGGTCCTGATACGCGATTCAGAACTGACTGTATGCTGCGGGAAGCAATGCTGAGCCTGCAAACAGGGATTCACTCTTACTGAGGCTGAAGCAATTCCTGAAGAAGAAACAAAGCTGCAGTCATGAACTTCTCCTTTCCTAGCTGTCACACCTGGCGAGCCCTAGAACTTTCACAAAAAGTCACTCAAACCCTACCCAGAACAGTTCTTCCTTACGAACCCCACTGGTTGCAGAAAGACTCCCTCAACAGTCCTGGCTTTTTGCATCCCCCTTCCAGTGGGCTGGCTAAGAGGAGCTGGAGGAACAGTGCTGCTATTTAGTCCATCTTCTCTTTGCCCTGACGGGTGATGTTTCAGAAAGACTCAGGAGAAACTCCAGGCTGCTGGTGACCTCTCTGGGCAAGACAAATTTCCAATCTGCTCGATGGAGCTGTACAAGGAAGGAAGGTGAGGAAGGTCCCAGATTAGTTTTCCAGGCTTCTCCGCTCCCTGATACGTTCCTTGCTCCACCAGTCAACCCCCTCCACCCAAAAAAACACCCAACCTTCCTCTGCAACCCCTTCACAAGGCTAAAATCTCCTTATTGAAGCCAGAAAGTTCCAGCAGGTTATGAGCCTCTGAGGCTCCCATGGCCCAACACAACATTAAAACTGTGCTGCTAATAGGCTCTGATCCCCCAAATTAGTCCGTATCATCTCTCCATTTCCCCCCACCTTCCTCCCAACAGTTCGACTTCAAATTCTAAATCTCTGTGTTTAAATCGTGCATTTGTCTTACCATGTTTCCACAGCCAAACACCTCATTATTGGTGGCTTCTGAACAGGAGGAAATAAAAGCTTACCTCTGTGCCTTGGCCAAGACGAATGCTCTGCGGACAGAAGGCTCTGTGTTCTCTCATTTCCTTGGCAGGACTGACAACCTCGGCCACTTGAGGGGAGGCTACTGGATTAGCCGGGAGGGAACAAAAAAGGGAGAAAAAAAAAAAAAAAAAAACAACAAACCAACCAGCAATGACAAAAAAGGCTCAAGCAAGGTCTGGTGTGTTCGCAGTGAGCCAGAGCACAGGTTAGAACAAAACCTGGAGAAGGCAAAAGGATCGGGACACGTCCAAGTAGAAAGCTGAGCGAGGGAAGGAGGGACCGGTGCGCTGAACGACAGCCCCTGAGGCAGCACGACCGAGCGCAGCGGCAGAGCTGTGGAGCCGCTTGGCTCTCGCCAGCCCCCGGGCTGAACCTCCCGGTGCCAACTGCAGCGTCGGGGTCCCCCGGCCCCCTCTGCACTCCCGCGTCCTTTCGCCCGCCGAGGGGACGCGGTCGGACAGCGTAACGGCAAACAGCGCAGATGGATGGTGCCGGCTCCCTGGGGTGAAGGCTCCTGGACTTCTGCACGGGATTTCGGCGCGTGTGTGGTGATCCCCACGCAGCCTGTGCACACCTGATTTACTGCTCAGGCATCGATCCTTGGCCCAGCACGTGCCTGGAAAAAAATCAGCCCTGCTGGGGGTTCGGTATTGATTTGGTCTGCTCACGGGCAGCCACTCCAGTGACCCAGAGGAGGCCAGGCACCATCTTTCATGTTATGCCGGTGTCTGTTTGGGGCGGGCTGCACGAAACAGAAGAAAGTTCAGGCCTGTTCATGGCTGAGGGAGTTGTTCCTTGTAGTGTTCTCGTGAATTATTTCCTTTCTTTAGGAAACATTAAGCTCCTTGTGCCTGGAGGCACCTCATGCTTTATGCTTCTGCTTGAAGTGCAGAGGATGCTCCAGCAGTGAACAGAGGTTACAGAGAGCAGGGCTGATGAAATGGTTGGGTTAATGGGGATGGGGCAGCGATGTGCCATGGCCACGTAGGCCGTGCCATCCCAGCTGCTGCTTGGCCGATCTTCCAAAATAAATCCAGCCTCAGAGAAAGGCGTAAAAGTAAATTCATCTTGCCAGCAGAAGTGTTCTCTAAAATGAGTGTTCATGACAATGCTCACTTCCTTCCAACCTAAACATCCTTCAGCTATTTTCCTGAAGCCCCGGAAGCTTGGGAGGTTCTTTGAGTCAGCTTGCAATTCACCTCTGCATCAGCCTACAGAATCACTAAAGTTCAGCTCTTGCCTCTTTTTAGCCCCATCTAATTATGCAACTCAGCTACAGCGACAACAACAGTTTTGCTGAACGTGCAACAGCCTCGACGTCGTATTTTGGTGTGGGGAGACAGAAGGAAAAGCTGTTTCAAGTTCAAGCGTTTCTACGGGGCTTGACTGATGTGGAAAAGCCAGAGCCCTCTCCGCTGTATCTGAAGTCAAACACCTTCTTCTCGGGGGTCCTGGATGTGCCCCCATCTACCCGAACAGAAAGGTACAAATCTTGGAGTTTTCCCTACCCATGTTTCTTCAGGACTGTAGTTCATTAACGACAAGAAACGCAGATTCATTAGTGTGCATTAACCAATGCCTTTCCTATATTACCACTGCTGTCTCCAATCAAAGAGTCATTTATGGAAAACAAGGGCAGAGGGAACAACACGCTTTGGCAGCTTTAAGATTATACGCCCAGAGCTTTATACCCTCTGTCTTATATTTTTACGTTAAAGTATCATGAGATATTACCATATTTTTCATTATTATTTGTAGCACTAAATACTGCAGCACACAGTGCCAGATGGCTAATATTCAGAACAAAAATAATGCCAGGCCAATCTTAGAAAGACTCAATGAGAATGTAACAGCATGAATTCATCCTACTTTCCTAATGCATATAGTTAAAATATTAGCAGACTTAAAATCTGGGTTTCCAATTTAGAAGAATAGCATATCATAGAATTATATGCATGCATATATACATATATTTAAATATGTATGTATAAAAATTTTAATTCCTTTCCATTTTCTTTGCCTGTTTCAAGGGTCTTAACACAATACACAGGCACATCTTCTTTCACCCTTTAGAAGGTTATTTTGACCAAAAATGCATCAGGAACATAAGCAAAAACCTTTTTCCAGAAACTGTTATTGGTATAAAATACTTTATGTTTTTTTTTCAAATATATAAACAGCTTGAGTCCTAAACTTAACCAGATGGAAACGTGCCTACAAAGAGTTGGATCTAATTCAGAAGAGACTGACAGCCAACAGATGAGCCAATTTAGACCATTCTATGCCAAAAATGGTCAATCATGTTATCTTATGTGTGACTCTACTCTGGCAGATGCCAACTCTATCCAAACAACTTCAAGCATCTTTCTGGAAGATAAGATTATTTTACACACACTTAAAAATCATAATAATGCTTGATTTTTCTGGAAACATTCCACTTAGTTTCAGCATTTTCACAAGAGATTTTTATTAATTCGGTTTAGGGGTTTTTACTTTTTTTGTGTAGCCTCCTAACAGAATAAATGCTTTACAATCCAACAAAGACTGATTAGAAAAATACAAAATTGCAGTTCAGTGACAGTCCCCCATTTATTTAAATATTAATAAAAGGAAAGCTTTACACCTGTGCAAACCACTTAAGCTTCTCTCTTAAGGCAAAATGCCTACTTCCAAAAACACACAGAAACACAACAGTAAATACAGCTTAAATGTACCTCCTGCATCCCTCATACTTCCCCAAAATTAAGACTAGAGTTAAATGACTTTTTGTTTTATGGAGAGTAATTGCAACCAAGGGTTTTTTTTTAAATTTGTAAGTCATAATCACTCGGTGAATTTTACTTTTTTTTACATTCTGGAAAACATTTGACAGATATGCTGTTAATCTGCCTCAGACGGCGGCAGGAAAGGCCCTCCTCCTCTGTCACCTATATGCTCCCCCTCCAGGGAATACAGCACTGGTGTGCTTACTTTTTTCCCCTTGTTGCCCCCAGTCTGAGTTAGAATAGTCAAAAGGGGGAAGAAACACTTATTCAGTTATTAGCCCATCCTGACAGCACAGGACCATTTAATTCACTCTCCCATGCATCACATAACCTGTATTTAAGCCCTGTATCTGCTGTCAGCTTGGTCTGTGTTTAAACTCAGTCTGAATTTTAGTTTCACGCTAAAGCCCTAGGAGGTCTCAGGTGATGGGATTTGTCTGTTAGATTGAAAGGTCCAGAAACTGGCGTAAACTCTTCGTAGATCATCATCTTTCAGAGGACACCTTGAAAGGCCACATTTAAAAAGACTAACATCTTCAAATCTGTTGTTTCCAGAGAGAATAATGCAAGCTTTTCTTCCAAAGAAGAGAGCAGCAGTTCTGCTAGATAGCCTGTAGTTTGGGTGTTGTCTTGACAATCGCACACAAAGTTGCAATTTCATTTTCCATTTGTATAGTAGGTAATTGCACTGCCTGTGTGAAGTAACCTTACCTCATCCAGCAGAAGGGAGCCAGGCAATTATCTATAGGACTTATGGCAAGGTCTCAATTTCCAACCTTTTTATAGCGTCTTTTGTGATGACAGTCCCAAGATTTTGAGATCCACAGACATTAATCTAGACTGAAGTCTAGACATTTGGAAGGTTTTAGAGATCTTCCTTATAGGACAAATATATATCCTCAGTTGTGTGATCACTTTCTTACATTGTTCCTGCTTCTCTTCAAAAAGACAGTGTCAAGATGTGTATGACTGGAGAGCCTGACCACAGATGTTGACTTTGCACTTGAGGCAACGCTCACAGAAAGGCTCAGTCACACTGGAAGGATTCACGTACGCGCAACCCGGGCACACAACGTTCAGTCTCAGCTGATGAAAAAACACCAGGCTTTAGGTAACCACACCCTGCTCACCTCAGCCTTTTCCCTAACTAGTCCTAGCTAGTCCGTAGATTGTATCGTTCTTGTACCTTGGCCGCACGTTGGGCTCCACTCTAGAACCATCCTAAGATGTTGCAGCTAGTCTTTACAGAGCCAGCAGTGGTTTTGTATTACATTAAACAGTGTAATCTGCTGCAGACTGATCCACAAAGATCACTTTCCAGTCTGCACCGGGGAGCAGCTTCAAGGTGACTCATCGGTAGGACCAGCGATGCTCTGTCCAACCTGACCCAAGGCTGGCGAGAAGGTACGGAGCCCTTGGAAAGAACCACAAACTGCTGGAGAAGCTCTTGGAGAGAATGGAAAGTTAACATTTTATCACTTAGGTGGGTTTGGGTTTTTTAAATAATCAGTTAATTTCCTGTTTATGGATAAAGAAACATATCAGTCAGCCACAACCAGGCTGATGACAGCTTTTCTTCAGTTCTAGATAAAACACCCGGCTGAATAGCAAGAGGCGGTTTAGACAGTGCCAAGGGCTTCCCTTCACATTTTTGTTACCATACTCATAGCTGTTGCCCACCGCTGTTGTATGATCTGCGATGCAAAAACTGTGTTGGCAACAGTTGGGTGATTCAGCAAGTACAGTTTTTTCTATGGCCATGTTCTTTTTTGCACCTATTTTAAAGAGCAGCACCGGCTGAATGTAGTTGGCTACATTGCCACTACCTGGTAAAGCCATGTTTTCTTCAGTTTCTGTGCTGTCTTTCTAACAGGTCTGAAAGCAGGCTCAGCCTCTAGGACAAGTGTGTATTACAGCAAGTAAATGTTGCCTGCAAAATGCATCATAGAGGAAACTTTGTTCCACTGCAAAGAACCACATGCTTCAGTCACAGGGCGTGACAAACTAAGGCAGCAAGGAATCTTTTCTTGTAGAACCACCCAGCTCATCTACTTGATTGGTCACACACACCTTGCATGTTCAAGGCTTTCTACACTTAGATGACACAGGTGCAGGTGTGAGTTCGCATCTTTCCCAAGACTGAACATTTAATTTCAAATTGCCGCCGGGTTGTTTGGAGCCATAAAGCCGTTAGTCTGTGTTCGCTGCCCGTGCAGACAGCACTGGTCATGTCAAAGCGCTCAACAGCAAGGACTTCGTGAGGTTCCTCATCTCCTCATCTGTTCCCTGCAAAGTTCAGAGGCTATTTTCACTTCATTTTCTCCTACAGTCAGAGCGAAATAATCTGTTGATTAACTTTATTTTAATCTGGCTCGAACATTAAGAATGTATCATGGTCATTTATTTAGAAATTCACCTGAAGGACAGCACTGGTCCGTGAAGAAGACTTTTGGCTCCCACTTTGGAACACAACCACTCCATTTCCATGAAATACCACTTGCATCTCACTGCAGTCAATAGGAATAAAAACAAGTGTGTTTAACAGATGTCGCAAGCAGTTTCCAGATTGTGACAGCTTTCCAACATTTTCTAGTTGATTGTTATTACAAGATCCCTGTAAGTCACCAGCAAGCATGGCAGCCTCTTACTCTGCTCATCATGTTCCCACTGATGACGTGAGCTGTCAGACTGTAAACTCGAAGTTGTCAAATAGCTATAATTTGCAGATACAGTAAAAGAGCTTAACGTTCCTTTAAGTACTTAAGTGATGTATTCAGTAGAATTTATGGTCTGTAAAAGTCTGCAGAGTTTTCTAGTTAGAACAGCATTTCCAAAGGACAGCTCAAAGGTCAGTAAAGCAGCTTTGGTCACATCAGAGCCTGCCATTAGGCATGAGCTTATATTCCCACTCAATCAATTTCCACAGAGATTTTAAATCCAACCCTAAAACCAGAGCCATTTGTAGGATTTGCCTTTCTAGACATCTATTAGGATCACTCTGACATTTATTTGCTAAAATTTGTCTACTCTCCAGTAGACTAAACAGCTAGAAACTTTTGGGCCTTAGATTAAAATAAAACAAACCCCACAAAATCATCAACAGAAACGTTGCTTTGGGCAACCTGGTCTAGTGGAAGGTG